TTTCTTTGTTCATATTTACCAAGGGTACCTTTTTTTTTTTTTTCTTACCATGACTGTACCAGGGATAATTTTACTCCATGCAAATTCAGTGGCATTTGATTTGCCTCAACCAGTAGGGCATTAACTGGTGTTGATTTGGCTGCTCCTACGCATATCCTTGCAGCTCTACACTATATTTTACCAGATCAATTTAATAATGTTATTCATGCAGCACCATATATTATACAGCCATAGTACAACACAGATCCAATCATAGCGTGAAATATCAGCAGTCCTGTTCCTTCACTTCTCTGCTCTTTGCTATTGCCCTCGTCACATTCAAGGATTTTCTATATTTATCATTTATGTATATTTACTATCAAACCAGATATTTAAATGTTTCCACTCATTCTAAGACTTTATCATATAATGTTAATTCATGATGTTCTGGCATTTTCCTTTTATGGGTGTATAATATTCAACAAATTAATTGACATTTTAAATCTCCAGTCTATAGTCTACTGTTCCACCTTTTTAAAGGCCGCCTGCATGTAAGAAAAGACTTGCAAAAAGTTCAAACCTTGTTCTATACGGCGCCATATATTTAACAATATTTATGATAATAAATAAAAATATTTATTTTTATTTTATCCTTTAAAATAAAAATTGTAACAACCAATTATACATTTTACCTGTTACTTTCATTCTAGCAGCTTTTATTAACAATCCTTCTCTCCATGCCATACCATGTGCTCTTTCAAGTGTTTTTTCTTAATAAATTAGCCTTTTCTATTTTTTCAGGACAAGCCTGTCAATTTTCCATCGGTTTCACAGCCGCAAATATTTAGATCACCTCTCAAAAGAATAAAACAAAGGTAGGTGAACAAAAAATGCAAGATTTGGCCATTTGCGATCCATATTAAGCACTCGCGGCAATATTTCAATCATTAAACAGTGCGACAAAACGTTGTAAAAACACTTAAAGTGCCTTACAGTAATATTCTCTATATTAATGATGCACAGTTTACATAGGCAAGCAGATGAGGCCGGAATATTAACGCAATCCACTTAATGGTTCAGTGTTTTCCTTCTAATGGTTTTCTATGGGAAATCATTTAACGTGAAACCTTGCACATTGCGTTCATATTCTGGCTTCATCTGCTTGCCTGTACAAAATATACAGTGGTGTGAAAAAAGTGTTGGCCCCCTTCCTGATTTCTTATTTTTTTGCATGTTTGTCACACTTGAATGTTTCAGTGTGACAAACATGCAAAAAAATAAGAAATCAGGAAGGGGGCCAACACTTTTTCACACCACTGTACATAATCAAAATATCGTAATCATAATCTTTTAATATCTGCGTTTTACTACATTACTACTTAATGCAAACTGCATAAAAATAACTGGCGGTCAGTGGAGCAAAGTTTAGTTTTGCCCTCCAGGTGGGTGTTCCTATTAGAGTGTGACGTCACGTGAAAACTATCAATACCTGGGAATAAGACAAAATAGCTCATGAAAAAAATCAAGGTAACATAGTTAACACTGTCACAATATCCACATCACTATGATCAGATGCTATGATCGCTATGGTCAGTTTTGTCACTACATTTATTTTGTTAATGAAAGGAAAACATGCAGCACATATTTACATATTAATCAAGTTTACACATGGCATTAAGATGTGTTTTCATTGTTCCAATCGTAAGTAGATAAATCTAAAATCAGGTACAAATGTTTTGAGCTTGTCCACTTTTTGCGTTGGTTGTCAAAAATGCATTTGACCGGATTGCTTTCGTAGTGCAAACACTCATGTGGTCAAATGGAAGCATCTTTCCAGATAGGATATAAACTTTGCCAGCTGAAGTTGTACGTTTGGTTTGATGATGAAAAATGTACAAAGTACAATGTTCTCCGCCAATCCTCACTTCTAACATGCATCCACAGCATTTGGTGTGGTTTTGCAGCTATCAGAGCAGAAATGAAAGCTGCTGCTCACCTTATCTTTTTCCATTGTCTCATTTTGCGTTGATATGTAAATTGTGTGAATGCATTTTATCCATTTGAAAACCCATGCATTTACCCACCCACTGACCCTACCACCCTTCAAATAATAGGGACAGAAGTGGTTGAAAGTGGACAAAAGAGACGGTGATCCGGAGACAATATATGTCTCTGTGTGAAATCTCATGCGTCTTTTAATACCTTCTTTTTGACTGAAACACTTTCCGCACTGTTGGCAGGTGAAATAACTACTACTTCCTGTCTTTTGAGCCTTTTTTCTTGAGGAAGTCTTTTCAGTCTGTGAGCAACTGAAAGATTTTTCTCCAGTTATGAAATTATGTCGATTCTTATATTGATCTTCCTCTTCCACTTCATTCAGTTCTTGACTCTCCTCTTTCAGCACCATCAGGTCTAAGGCGAAAAAACACAAATAAAAAATTAACCCCAATTGAATGGCACAAAGCAACAGATGTCAAAACATTCAGACATTTATAGCATCAAAACCAACATACAACTAGATCCTATACCCACTAAGCAACTCAAACTGTTCACATTCTTTAGGACATGTCTCAAAAACCATCAAGCTGGCATTTAAACCCTCTATTTAAAAAAAGGACTAATATCAATCACCCATGAACTACATCTTCTAGGGGTTAAGATCATCATACACACCTAGGATGGCTTGAGAGTGAGTAAATCATGGGCTAATTTTCATTTTTGGGTGAACTATCCCTTTAAAGGTCCCCTGAAGTGCCTTGAAACACGCAGCATTATTCTATGTGGTGACGTAATTTCAACTGAAGCAGGAAGAGAGGGCGGGACATATCGAGCAGCCCTGCCCCCTTTTTAAATTAGCCAATAGCATTTTGTTTATATCAGCTCGGGTCAGAGACGTTGAGCTCGGTAAAGCCGCATTTGACTAGTGGTCATAATCATACTGAGGCTGTGTAGTTGTAAAAGTTTTTAATATATGCCGACTCGCGCATATGAATCGCTCCGTGCGATCGCGTCTCTGGACTGGAGCCAAAGTCCAGATCAGACTGTGCGCGCTGCTGCGGTTCGCGTGAAACCAGACCTCATTTGCCCCAATCGAAAGCATAATTACTCTGTCTGAATCGTTCTCTATCACCTACATTGTGCACTACGAGCTATTCACTGTACAGAAAATACTACACTGTGAACAATCTCAGCCGGCGCTTCAGCGTCTATTTATAGTGCAGGGGGCGGGCGCTTCGGCTTCTAGAGAGCATTTGATTGGTCAGAAGATTTGATGAGAAGATGAAGTACGAGGTGACGTCAAAAAAATCGTTGAGCCATTTTGGCGGAAGTGACGAACTGCAAGCTTTGAATGCTTATATCTTCTAAATGCAAATTTTGTCACTGTTTTGGAGCACACTGCCTTATAGACAACCTTAAGACTAACATATTGATACTAACACCCAAAGAACTTTAATTTTGATTTCATGGGGACTTTAAAGAAAACAGTCTGACACTGTGGCACACTCCTGTCCTAAAAAGAGCAGCCCAGAAAATGGAGCACAGCTGGAAGAAAACAAAACTAGAGGTATTTTGTACTGCATGGTGGGAAAGTACTTTCTTCTACAGAAAAGCCTTAAAAACTGCTAGATTCGCTTACTTTTCGTCTCTTTTAGAAGAAACAAACTCAACCCCAGGTATTTATTAAATACAGTGGCTAAATTAACAAAAATAAAGCATCAACTGACAGCAGACATTTCCCAACAGCACAGCAGTAGTGACTTTATGAACTGCTTTACTTTCAAGATCGATACTGTTAGAGATAAAATTATAACCATGCGGCTGTCAGCTACAGTATCGCATCAGATAGTGCGCTATAGATCCCCTAAAGAACAATTCCACTCATTCTGTACTATAGAAGAGGAAGAACCCTCCAGGACCGAGTTTGGACAGCCCTGATCTAAACCAACAACATGTATCTTAGACCCTATTCCATCTAAGCTCCTAAAAGTGGTGCTTTCAATCACAGTTCGTTTCATTCAGCGTCACGTTTCGGGGCGTGGAAATGTCCCCACAACAACAGACCGGCGTGCAATAAGTCAGTCATTGAAATAACCAGCATTGAAAGTCAAAGAAGAAGAGGGAGAACAAGCAGTAAGTAAGTCATTTGTTCGCAAACGTTGCAAAAGTTTATAACAACAATGGCGCTCCATTAACACCTCTTAGCAAAACACAGAGTAAATTGGTAGGAAACGTATGCAGACTTTGTTCAGAGACCTTCAAAACATCTAAAACTAACAAACAGATTATTTCGTGGACACGACTCTTCAGACAAAGCGGAATTTACTATTGTGCTGGAGGAGTTTGTTGGCAAGCTTTATGACACAAGTTTGGCAATCTGCACGTTCTGCCGAAGTTCTCTCCTGTGAGAGAAAGGGAAAATGAATTAAAGCTGAAACTATATTTACTCTTTCAAAAATGTATTTAATTGAGCTACTGTTGTCACTGTTCACAGTGTCTCAACCATCTACTTTCCAGACTAATGATGGAGAGGAAAAAAACAATCTGCTGATTCCTCTGAATGGGAGAAAGTAGAGGTTTTGAAGGAGATGTCTACTGCTTTTCTGGCAGGCAGAATCAGGCCAGTTGCTGACAGAGGAGCTGAGGTTAAATCAAAACTGTGCGATAAATACTAGAGTAAAGAGAAAGATTATGAATGACTTATGAAGAGTGTGATCATCCTGGTTTATTGCCATCTACCTTTAAATCACACTGAGATTATATATTTTACTTGTAAATCACATTTGTCATGGTTTAGTTTTTAATACTTGTATAAATTGTTTCTAAACCCAGACATAAAATTCTGCCTTTTAGACAGAATCCCTTTCATTTGTATTTCCTTAATATTTCCAACGCATTATTAGACAACATGTATTTAAATATGTATTTCACCAAGAAACCAACTCTGAACTCCTATGGCATTTACATTTTCTGTGCACTTTTGTGATTTTAGAAACCAGGGTAATGACAGGACTTTTATTTTGGTTTAGTGGTGTGACCTCATAAGACTGCGCCGCTCTGTCTTCTTTCTTCGACTGAAGAAAGGTTTGTGTTTTTTATGTTATTTAAAGTGTTTAAATCAATGCTGTTCAGGCAATTTTATAGTTTTTACAAGCGAGGTCAAAAAAAATTGATTAAATACAACAAATATAAACTAAACAGATAATAATAATAATGTAAACATGCATGCCTAAATTTGAAATGTCTGTATAATATGTTTTCTTTTATACATTTTTTGTGCTAGTTTTTAGTGTTTTTTTTTTGTTTTGTTTTGTTCTTTTGTGTCTTATAAGGCCATTAACTAGCATTACATTAACTTACCAGTGCACCGACTACTGAGCTGATTGAGACCCAGAGATTTAGTTTGGATTTACTTTTTGGTTTTCTTAATTATTCTGATCTTAAACAGGACTCCTGCTGAATCATCTGAGATCCACGTAACACACTGTTATAAAGATGGAGTTTATTAAAGAAGAGAGTGAAAACATGAAGATTGAAGCATTCAGAGTCAAACATGAAGATACTGAGGAACAAACAAAGATGGAGTTTATTAAAGAGGAGAGTGAAGACATAAGGATTGAGGAAGCGTTCAGAGTCCAACATGAAGATACGGAGGAATGAGTGGGCCCGGTGACGTTTTGCTTGACTCCAAAAGAGTTTATTAGGTCAGTAAACGCAAGTCCTAAGGCATCATTTGTATTAAACTATTTAAAAGCGGAGGAAAAGAGGGAAAATTCAAATGAACTTAAAACAAACAGTTGCTTTACTCCGAATTGCCGCTATTTGAAAGTGAAAGTAAAATGTGCACGCCGCTTTTACAAGCTATTTAAAAGCAAAGGAAAGCGAGGAAAAGAGGGAACGCCCCCGCAGTGATACCGGTATTACCGGTGTTATCACACGTCGATTAACCGGTGGGAAAATTTCCTCACTGTCACAACCCTAATTCACAATTAGCATAACCCCCGCCTATGAATTACAGCTACGTAAATTGCGTGTCCAGGAACACAGTGGAATATTCTGGTCTACTTTCTCAGGTTTGGCTCCCGTATATTGCATAAATGCAAAAAAGACTAATAGGCCATATGCCTAACAATAAAAATTCAATAACGTGTGTCCACCAAAGAGTTTTTAGCCAGCTGAAAAAATGTAATGTGCTCTTCTTAAAACTACCAGCTGGTGGCGCTTGAACACTTTGGTGGCACAGCATTTTTCCAGCTGAGACGCTTTAGTTGCTATGATTTGGAATATCCATGGCGACAACGTATTACTAGTATCTAATTTTACTAAATATAAAAAAGCAGTAACCAGTAATATTGACTTCACCGTTGTTGTAGGCAGTCGTTGTACAAGCAGGATGGTTGGTCGCTATTTGTCCCACCCGTCCTCTATTTACGGCTGGGTAAAGAGTGACAGTGACGAGCACTGCGTTTTAGTTATCAACTCAAAAAAAAAAAAAAATCTAAAAGAGGACAAGGGCGAATTAACTTGTAATTATAATGGCAGTGCATGAAAATTCAGTGTCATCAGTTTGCCAAAAAGAACACAGAACGTTTTATGCACCATTTACACAGGTGGTAAGGAGCAGGTGTACATTTCTTTCGTACCAACTAACATTTTGAAAATACGAACATTTTCATGAATTCGAAAGTTTACGTCAGAACAGCTTTACGAACGATTTACACACAAAAAAATTCTGCTCGTGTTTCATGAATGAGGCCCATTGTGTAAAGCATCAAGCAGACATTACAAAAAGTAGCTTCAGCAAGAAATATTTTGTTTGATAAAATGTATTACATATACTCTTTTGGACCATGAGGGTGAGTAAATGATGACAACATTTTCATTTTTGGGTGGGTGAACTATACCTTTAATAATTTTTATTATTATTAATACTATGGAAATATGACTCTTTTTAAATGAAATGATACTCTAAATAATAAACTAAAACTGCCAGTAGGTGGTGGTAAATGTCTTAATGATTAAGTCATCGAGTCATTTATTCATTCATATGGTTGATTCATTCAGGAGTGAAGTAAATGGTTCTTTATGAATGGTCCATTGAATCATTCGGCTTGTTCGACTTGAAGTGGATCATCACCATCACATCGATCGGTGTATGACACCAAAGTACTGCAAGAGTTATAGAGAGCAGACAGCTCCTTATGCTTTTGAACCGCTCTTGCGGTCCTTTGATGTCATACACCGATCGATCTGTGCAGCGCCACTTCAAATCCAACGCGCCAATGGTTCAACGCGCCAAATGGTTCACCCAGTTCATTCAAAACGTGCATTAAGAAATGAAATGCCACTGTGTGTTGCTCGGAGACGAACAGTTCTGCTTTGTCTTTATATTTTCGTTGGCA